AGAAAAAAAAAAGAAAGAGAGCAGCGCGAGGCGCGCGTGACGGCGCGCTCACGCTCCAGAAAGGCGCGCTCAGAGCGCGCTGCGCAGAGAGAAAGACAGAAAAAGAAACACTTAAAGAGAATGAGCGAGAGAGAGAGAGAGAGAGAAAGAGAGAGAGAGAGAGAGACAAGGAAAGAGCAGAGCCCAGCCACAGAGCCCACACAGCCCCACAGAGTTGACAGAGTTCAGGGGCGCGGCCAAGAGAAGGAAAAGAGGAGGGCAAGGCCTGGACACAGAGCCCAGCGCGCCAAGAGAACAAGAGGAGGAAAAGAGGAGGACAGGGCCTGGGACAAGAGGAGGACAAGGCCCAGCCACAGAGCCCAGCCACAGAGCCCAGCCACAGAGTCGACGAGGACAAGAGGAGGACAAAGCCCAGCCACAAGCCCAGCCACAGAGCCCAGCCACAGAGCGGAGCCACAGAGTTGACAGAGTTCAGGGGCGCGGCCAAAAGCAGGACAAGGCCCAACCACAGAGCCAGAGTTGACAGAGTTCAGGGGCGCGGCCAAGAGGAGGACAAGGCCTAGCCACAGACAGGGTTCAGGGGGCGCGGCCAAGAGGAGGACAAGAGGAGGACAAGGCCCAGCCACAGAGCCCAGACACAGAGCCCAGCCACAGAGTTGACAGAGTTGGCGCGGCCAAGAGGAGGACAAGGCCCAGCCACAGAGCCCAGCCACAGAGTTGACAGAGTTCAGGGGCGCGGCCAAGAGGAGGACAAGAGAAGGACAAGGCCCAGCCACAGAGTTGACAGAGTTCAGGGGCGCGGCCAACAGGAGGACAAGAGGAGGACAAGGCCCGGCACAGAGCCCAGCCACAGAGTTGACAGAGTTCAGGGGTGCGGGGAAGAGGAGGACAACCAGCCACAGAGCCCAGCCACAGAGCCCAGCCACAGAGTTGACAGAGTTCAGGGGCGCGGCCAAGAGGAGGACAAGACCCAGCCACAGAGCCCAGCCACAGAGTTGACAGAGTTCAGGGGCGCGGCCAAGAGGAGGACAAGAGGAGGACAAGGCCCAGCCACAGAGCCCAGCCACAGAGCCCAGCCACAGAGCTCAGCCACAGAGTTCAGGGGCGCGGCCAGTGAGTGTGTCCAGCTCTTTTCTTTCTGAGATAGAACCCCAACAGTAAACTGTTTGGGGAAAAATAGACGCCACGCTTTTAAGGTCACAATTCTCCGAAACATGATGTTTAGCTTCCACAGTCATACTCCATCTTTTCAAACGCATATATACCTGCAAAATTTTTCAGACATGCGTCTGTGCGTTTCAACTAATACAAGCGTGCGCTTTCACAAACATGCCACTGTCTTGTGCGAGATGAAAAAACAAAGCGGAATCACCTTAGCTCAGCAAAGGGAGACAAAGAGGGACAAAGCAGAATCATCTCAGCCCATCACCCTAAGAGCCACGGCCACGACAGACAAAGGGAGACAAAAGGAGATACAAAGCCAGAAATCAATGCAAGAATTGAGAACCCGTCACACCAAAGCTTTGGGGAATAATAGCACTGTATAAGTGTCTAGTTCTTTTTGCTTGGCCAAATGCTCTCGCACAAGCCGCAGCCCACAGCAGGAGACAGGAACATGAGGCACCCAACATAGACGTCTCAAAACCCAGTGCTTCATTGATGAAGGCCATGGACCTGAGCTGGACACCGAAGCCGCTGGTTCAACTCTGCACTAGCGAACACCCGTTTCATCCGGCTACAAACACATCTCACGGAAACAAGAGGACTTGCTCAAGCACCAAGAAAGCACTGTGATGGTCATGACACGTCGACATTCCACATGAAAAGCTTTGTCAGATGGATGGATCCTAATGCAGAAAAGATACAGCATGAAAATGAAGGACACTAAAGCACCTCAGCGTCATACAGAATAAAACTCTATACCTGCATCAGCCTGCGTCTGCCTCTGTGATGTACATCTTTCTGAGTCCGGTCAGCGACACACCTGAGTCTCAGGTTTTGGCTAAAACAAGCATGTGCACTGGAAACGCTCGTTGGCCCTGGTGCATCTCCACCTTGGAGCTTCTGCCAGTAGATGTTGAGCCTCAGTGCTAAAAGGCCAAAATCTGACGTGCGTCAACAGTGCACGACTTCAGAAAAAGGGTGATACAACACCATCACATGTCTGAGCCGGCCCGGCCATTCCTCTGGCGCATGCATCATGTAGCTTCCAGGTGGTGGTAGCCGCCGTCCTCAGGAAAATTAAGGACGCAAGCATCATAAGTTCAAACCATAAGGCGATAAAGTGTTCAATTCCTGGTTTCAAGTCGGCCTTCCTGCTTGTAGGCTCTACTGTTGAGACCTATCTGCTGAAATACAAACCGTAGCACCAATAGAACTTTTGCGTAGGTCCACCCGCCAATTTCTATTTATGCTTTTCTGCGCAATAAGGTGGTCTTTTGATGTCTGTTGCATCGGACTCACCGCCTCTTTCTCCCGCACCTGGAGGCTCCTCCGCTGCTCTTGTGGATGGCCACCAGGACTGACGGGGCAGAACGCGGCCAAACGCAGCGCGCATTTAACGCCCACGTGCACAAGCAACCTCTTCTGCTTGTGTGGTGCTTTGACCTGTTTCATCTGGATGACCTGGTGCATGTGTTGTGCGCTTCGCCAGATATCCGTGGCTGTGCATTGTTTCAAATGGTATGTCGCCGTTCAGTTCTGTCGAAGTGCAACTTCCACAAGCCTGTGCGTTCGAATTTGTTTGGAACCTTTTGATCTGAGGTAGTGGCACAAACTTGAAGCATGATAACAATCATCAGTGTCTGTTCTCCGAATCCCAAGCTAAGCAGAATTGATTGCCTTTTTCTTAGGTGTGACAACTCGCAAAACATGCGCTTGTTGGTCACTCTTAAGTTTCCAAAACCATGCACCCCAAAAGCCCGATTGAGCAAAAAACTGGTCACCACTGGTCCTGCGGATAGAAGCGGTCAATACAAACATTGTTGAAAAGCACACCAACCTCACAGGGGAACAAATGCTGCGAATTGCCGGCAGCGCCACATGCAAATGCAACGCAACTGCATCGAAACCTGTTGGCATGAAAGTGACAGAGAAAAAGGTTTTTTGCAATGGTGTCATTGCCAGGCTCCAAGCTGTAACAATCAACACGGATCCACCCATGGTCCTGAGTTAGGATTCAATCAACATGTGCCCGCATGATAGAACCGGATCTGGAAAGGTGGACTCACAACAGGTTGGATGTTACTAGCACTGACACACACACACACACTTTCGAGAAAATTCGCACGGAACGGAAAGCCACTCGCCACGCGGCGACCTTCCTGAGAAAGTCACGTAAGGAGGTCTGAGCATCCTGGTGGTCCAGACTAAATAAGGGAGGCCCAAGATCTCAAGGTTCGGACCGACGCGCGCGCAAAAAAAAGAACGGAATGAGACGACGAGACATGAAGGCGGAGAAGAGATGACGGAAGGTGTGCGTAAAGGGGAAAGGATGAAAGGGGAACCAAATGGAGGGGCTAGAAAACCATGTGCGCTTAAAAGGTTCCGACACCAATGGGTCTTGAGTGTACTACGGCCGCTGCGGCCTACTCTTGCCATGCCAAAACGGCGGGGGCGGGCTACTCTTGTCTGCTGTGGGCTACTCATGGCATGCCCAAGTCGTCAGGTCTCAATCGACGTTTGGAATAAGCCTCCTATGCTGGCTGCAAGCTACTCTGTTCCCGGTCAGGGGGTAAGACAAACCTTTGCTCGGCAAGGCCACGGGGGGGGGAACTCTTCCGACTCACCCGGGCTCCATATACACTCGGGTAAATTCGTACGGAACGGGAAGCCAATTGCCACACGGCGACCTAGAAAGTCATGTAAGGAGGTCTGAGCATCCTGGTGGTCCAGACTAAATAAGGGAGGCCCAAGATCTCAAAGTTCAAAGTCGGTGATCGATATGCGACAGGATGACGACGTGCACAACTGCCGAGCTGAGAGCCACCTAAACAGCCTGAAAGTACCAGTAGACGGGGACGTAGCTATCAACGCAGGTACACCAGGTTGATCAGACCTGGCTTCCACGGTTCCCTGTGATTCATAAGGCTTCACACACACTCAAGATATTGCGTGCTGAAGTGAATGCCACATGCCACACGCCCACCCAGGTATGCACGCCTAAGAGTACAGGAATAGATGAAACCAAGGCTCCACAAATCGAGGGTCGAACGAGCGACAAGGACGGTGGGAGCGTGTACAGTCTGCCGACCTACCTCCACCTAAACAGCCTGAAAGTAGAGTGGGATGTAGCTATCAACATTCGAAACCGGAGCAGGGACGCCACGGTGATCGGCCGTGATATCTGCATGTACTGTGGCCGCTTCGTTGGACCATCGCGCACAGTACATGGATGGTCCCCCTGCAATTTATGAAGAAGATCAGGAACCGAAGTCACAAATCAACGGATTCCCTGTGAGTCCAAGGGGTTCACAACACACCTGCTGCTCTCGGGTTCCAACAGTCCCAGGGAGTGCCATGAGTGTTGTGCCTGAGAGACTGTGCGTAGCATCCATGCTTTTGTAAGATGGTCATCAAAGCTTGTTTGCTTCTCTATGTAATATTATATACGCCATATTCATACATATGTTAATGTTTTTGCACTTGAGTGCTGGACGTCAGACAGCAGCAACGCAGTTGCGGCCCCTATCAGTAGACCACCAAAAAGGGCAGTCAGTCAACAAAGGCACTAAGGAATTAGAACTGCCAACATGTTGAGAATGGGCAAAGCTGTTCAAGTTAGCAAAAGGGGTAATCGGCTCGTTCCAACAGGGGTTGTGAGGACAAGGACCTGCGGCGTCGCGATATCACCGCCTGCAGGATGCACAGCACCTAGAAGCTCCTGTGCGGCCACGGTGACCGACACCACCAAAGCTGCCTGGCTTGAACTGAACTGCCAAGGTCTTACAGTATATGGACTTCAATGAACTTGCTGATGTTTCAATCGACTTCAATGCAAAATGGCGTTCTGCCTTCTAAGCAACCAAGAGTTATCTACATCTAGTTGATGCTTCTCATAGTGTTGAATGGACGTGTCGATTCTTTGCACAGGATCTGAAACCATCCGCCTTGGGCGCGTTGAGCAGGTCCGGAAGCGGTAAGAGGCCAGCAAGAAGCGCTATGATAGCACCTCACAAAACAAGGCTTTATTTGCAGCAAGTCACTCAGGTGTGATGGAGACCACCTATACAATAGTTGAGGCGATGGAGGTGGACGAACGGTAGAGCTTGGAAGATTCTGAAGAGCAGCAAGCAGCCAGCAGCAGCAAAGCAGCAGCGAAGCGCTGCCTAGTCTTTCCGCAGATTGAAAATCTCTGCAAAGTTTGTGGCACCAGTAAAGCGGACATTTTGGCAATGCGTTGAAGAGTTACCTTCCGCTCTCCTTTCTGGGCATGCAACTGTACTGTGTTCGTTTCCCAACTACTGGTCAGGATACGAACCGAAATGACCAGGTCAACTGCAGATCAAGCTGTGGGTCACTAGGGCCTTTCTGCTGGAATTCCATTTGTCCCTTGGAAAAAAAACTCGTAGCCGTTGACCTGGTACAAGAGTTTCGGGTGCCTTCTTCGCCCAACAACCTGGCTAAACCAAGGATCCTTTGCGCAAAATTGAAACACAGTCAAGGCGGCTGTGAAGCGGCCAGCATTGGCTTCTGGTGAAGCACGTTTAGCGAGGCATGCCCCGCAAACCGAGCCGCCTTATTGTAGACAAAATTACAAAAATACATGCTGTCCAACTATCCTTCCAAAGAGTTGGACGAGAAAAGGTAAATAGACTATATAAATAGACTGCAATAGACCTCATTTGCAGAACAGTGTGTTGGTGTGTTCGCCTTTGCCTCAATAAATAGTGTCCAACTTGGAGGGGGGAGTCGCCAGAGTAGCCACAAAATTGGAAAATTCTGAGGCCTTGGAGGCCTCTTGACCTGAGGATCGGATGGCGCACTCAGCCCCGTGTTGATGTCTTTGATCTCTAGGGCAAAATGAGTCACTCGCGCCCCCAGGTGAATTAGCATCGTTGATGATCTTAGAACAAATCAACATCCCGAGTTGGAAACGACACAAGGTTCCCGATCGGACGCTGTAGAATCTGCTGCTGCAAATCCAGCTCTGCAAAGCGATGCCAAATCTTGTTTGATTAAGCAACAAAAGTGCCAATGGTTTCGAACTCTTGTGCACAGTCAAGTTGTCCCACTCATCCACTCAAACAAAAGTGAGTGTCATGAGTGTTCATCAGCACCCCCCGGTTACAATGTAATACGCGTGATGACTCAGTGGCTACCTTAAGGCCACCTTTGCCACGTGTTGCAGTTGCTCAGAATACGCTCAGTCGAGTCCCATCTATCTTGTCACCTGGTTTCCAGCCGGAAGCAGAGCCCCACATATCTGTAAAAACTGTAGGTGCGGTCAAGCCCTGATGTCTGGCTCAGTGGCTCCTGATAGGGAAGTCAACGCAATGGCAAAGGTTACACAGAAATCGCAATCAACAAGCTTCTTCCTTCTGGCTGACCAGGAAGTAACTCTAGGGATGTATGCTTGCTCCCAGACACCAGCTACTGATTTTCTGATATGCCTTCTTCACAGCTGAATTGCAATTCTAAGCTCCTTGGCGCATCCGGCATTGTCTCATCAGGGCACATACCGATAGCAGGAGTAACCTTCCAAAGGCCTGGTTGCAGAGCTGTGTGTGAGCTGAATTTGTCTTGTAGCTGTCTGTTTGGTGTGCATCTGCTAACAACTGAAAGTGGCTTGGGACATGGATCAATCAACCACATAACTAGGTTTGGATCCACAACCCTAACAATGGAAATATCATTCACAGAAGGCACGGGAAATACTCCGCTCCTTTCAGCTTGAATGCCTTGAGACCGTGTCCACAACTCACATCTGCCATATGGTCCAAATTCAATGCCTTTGCACCTGCGAGATGCGTAACGAACAAAAGCCGGTGCCAAAGAGATATGGCAAACGAACCCAGTGTGGAGACCTTGTGCCCATGCTTCGGCACAAGTTTTTGCACGATGACAAAGTCTGCTTCTTCACGTGCTCAAAGTAGTTGACGGAGTTGTCCTCGAATATCAACTCGACTCTTGCATGTCTACTATGCTGTCCACAACTCGTTTTTCTCCTGTACTTGGAACCTCTTTAAAGAGTGTTGGCCAGTATTGGTGTGCACGAGGACGCTATATAATCCTTCACGCTCTCGCTTCTTTCTCTCTGGCAAGCCGGAGGGTGCACACGCGCCACCTTGTGGCAAAACACCACCAGACAGCAAGGGAGGGTGTGGAGGGAGGCTTTGAGCCCCAGCCACGAACATTCAGGATTATCAAATCAATCCTTCATGCTCTCGCTTCTTTCTCTCTGGCAAGCCGGAGGGTGCACACGCGCCACCTTGTGGCAAAACACCACCCACAACCTTCTCTCCCATGATGTTCAGCTCGAAGTCTCTCGCTGTTCTGAGAAACAGGCACGGCCAAGCGGGCTCCGGGATACGCGCCTTCTTCCAGCGGATCACATGCTCCAAAGCCCATGGAGAAAGCTGAGCGCCACTCCAAACATGTTGCTTCACCTCAGGAGGAAGGTGGGGCATGAATTGGACAGACCAAGCTTCCTGGATGTAGATCTCCATAACTTTCGTCGTGATCCAGCGTCCACGACGCCGGGTCATTTCTCCATCCTCGCTGGAGAGGAGGAACCATGAGGCTCCTCCAGCCCTCAGCGATCCCAAGTCGATCGATCTCCCAACATGGCCTGGGATCTTGTCCAGACCATTTGCTTGCAGCAACTTGTTGAAGCGGCTTCGCATCGTTTGCGGTGATGCGGGCCACAGTCGCTGCCATGGCTCAAGGTTGTCAAAGGCGGCCTCGATGGTCTTCAGCAACTGTGGATGGTCCAGACGCGCAACTTGGCGCCTTGCGCATCTGAACCTGGTCTTTGGTTCTGCTATCTGTAGGAGGGCATGGGTGATGGACCCTTCAACATCCATTGGGAGGATCAAGTCCTTCCGGCAAGCTGTCAGCACCTCCCCAATCCTTGTCACCCCTCCCCAGGATAATGCCAGTATCCCGGCCACTCGATTCCAGCCCCACATCCATGAGGTTGTGATGAGGGAGAGGAGGGCTTGCCAAGGAAGTGCCAGGTGGTGCACTGGCGGCTCTTGTCGAAGCCACCCATAGGCTATGTCCCACGCTGGTTGAAGGAATCTTCTCACCCGAGGCCTCCGACCAGAAACAGCGTTCAATGTTTCGGAGTAGTGCCCATATGGGTGGCCTGAACGGTAGAGCTCTCTACCATATTTCTCCAGCATTAGGTTCAGGGCCTCGATGGGGTGGCAGCCATCAAAATCTCATCAAGGGCCATGTCGTGACCCTTGAGCCAGGATGAAAACTGCTCCAGCAAGAAATCCCGACGCTTCTGAGTCGCGGGCAGCACGGCTCTGCCGTGGGGGAGTTCCAGTTCATCTCTCTTGGTCGCCCGTGCTGTGTCGGCTTGACGCCGAGGTACCAGTCTTGGTCCATGGCTGACGGCGGCGCATGAAACTACTAGCTGACAGCTCAAGTAGAACCAAAACCACCTTTTGGGGAGAACCACCACAAGCGTGCCCACGCCCTTGACAGGAGCGGCGGGACCGGCCTGAACTGGTCGGACTTCCCCTCCTGCCAACGCAAAAGAAGTCCAGAAGACGGTGACAGAGCGGCAGACTCTTCCAGGTGAATGTAAAGCAAAGGCAAAAAGCAAAGGCTTGCAAGAGCAGCTCCATTGGCTCCAACGCCGACGGGAAGCCCCCAAAACAGAGGACCCTCACCGGGGAAACCACATGAGGCATCAAAGTCCAGAGATCGAAGTCCATGAACAGAGCACTTGGAGAAAGGATAGCAAGAGAAAGGGAGACGGCCAAAGCGCCAGCTTTCATCAGAAGCGAACCAGGAGGGAATGCCACCCAGTAGTAAGAGGCACAATCTCACCCAATTTGCTGCATATCTGCGGAGACCCCACCTTTGAGAATTTCAGGAGGACTTGCAGAGACTCTTGCCCTTGGAGGAAACTTGAAGTAGGCTTCGGAAAATCATGGTCTCTGGTAGGACAATCTGCAGGCAGGATACGAGTAGGTCCAAAATGGATGGAGGGGTAGAGGCACCCACCAAGGTAGATCCTGCTCTTCTGAGGGCCCTCCTTAGGCCATGCGAAGGTCACCGGCCCTTTGCCAGCGCTAAAAGCCCCACATTGGAGTCCATAATGAGCGAGAACCTTGTCTTTGGTCGTAGTATTGCCTCCTGCTTGAAAAGCCTCTCCGCAGCAAGGGCTTCTTGGATGTTTATGTGCGACGGCTTCTTCCACCTCCATACCTTCTCCAGCTTCCATTGATTTGACAGGATCACTTCATTGCAGAGTGGGGATTCCAACCCCGCTACAGAGATACTGGCAGCCTTCTCCTTGCGAAATTTTTGTGTGAGAGCCCTGTCGAAACAAAAGGCCACGCCGGAGGCCAGCTCTGATTTCGCCTGCCCCCCCACAAATCTCGATGAAGTGGAAGTTGAACGCTCTGGGCCTCTCCGGGCCTGAGATTGTATCTTCGTCCTCCTGGGGAACCTGTCCGGGCAGCTCTTCATGAAGCCAATCAAGCTTTCTCATCAAAGTCTCTTGGCGCGTTGTCATCCTGGAGTAGGAGGTCTTCTTCCGGCCAGTCCTGTATAGAGCCACTGAAAGCCCCTTTGGCAAAGCGCAAGAGACCACCGCTCCTTTGGCATCCGAGGAGTCTGCTGAAAAGCATCTGGGCTGAGTCATTGCTGAAATGTCCGTCGCAAAGAAGGGACAGAGCACCGAGAGCATCACCAGTTCTTGCGCCATAGATCGAGTCAAGTGCACCAACTTTGGAGTCTCCTGTACTTGTGAGAGAGGTGTCTTGTAGAGGTCCTGGATGAGAGACATGGTGGGCCTCCGGTAAAGGACAGCATTGACCCAACCTCCAATCAAAGAAGCTTGTAGGGCATCAGTAGAAGAGTGCATCGAAGCCAGAGTCAGCGACACAAAGGCCAGAGCTAACCTCTTCTGCGCCGGGGCCCCGACGGTAGTCAAGCCTAGGCCTCCGACGTAAGGGCTATTGTCAATCTCAGCACCCATGATACAGGCTT